ACCTCAGAATTTGACTTCAGCACTGCGCCTCCTCTGAGTCTCGGTATGCATTTCTCTTTCCTCCTAGTTGTAGGACTTCCACTCAGCCAGCGTTCCTGTGGTTCTGGGTGATGTCTGTTCCGTCTTTTAGTTGTATTTCTGAAGTGGTTGTTCGAGGCAGCCAACTCCCGCATTAACCTATGCTGCCATCTTGGTTTTCCTCCCTGTTGATGATTTTAGCATCTATGTTCATCAGGGATATTGGCCTGTAATTATTTTTCTTTGTAGTGTCTTTACCTGGTTTTGGAATTAGGGTAATGCTGGCCTCATAAAAAGAGCTTGGAAGTGTTCCTTCCTCTTGGATGTTGTGGAATAGTTTGAGGAGGATAAGTGATCTTCTTTAAATGTTTGGTAAACTCCCCTGTGAAACAGTCCGGACCCAGGCTTTTGTTGGCTGGGAGTTTTTTGAATACTGCTTCAAACTTCCTAAGTTTTTATTGGCCTACTCAGGCTTTCTGATTCTTCCTAATTCCATTTTTGTATTTTTTCTAGGAATTTGTTCATTTCATACACATTGTCCAGCTTGTTGGCATATAGTTGTTCATAGTATTTCCTTGTGATCCTTTGTATTTCTGTGGTGTCAGTGGTTATTTCTCCACTTTGGTTTCTGATTTTACTTATTTGGGTCCTCCCTGTTTCTTGATGAGTCTGGCAAAAGGTTCATCATCAATTCTGTTTATTCTTTTAAAGAACCAGCTCTTGGTTTCATGGATTTTATGTATTGCTTTTTTAGTCTATGTCATTTATTCCTGCTCTAATTTTTATTATTTCCTGCCTTCTGCTTGCTCTGAGCTTCCCTTGTTGTTCTCATTATTTGAGTTGTAGAGTTAAGTAGCTTATTGTTGATTTTTCTTGTTTTTTGAGGTAGGCCTGTAGTTCTATGAACTTCCCTCTAAGGGCTGCTTTTGTTTTTTCCTAGAGATTTTGGGTTTTTTTGTGTTCATACCATTTGTTTTCAGGAAGTTTTTTATTTCTTTCTTGATCTCATGGGTAACCCATTTATTCTTTAATAACATGCTGTTTAGTCTCATGAGTTTGAATGTTTTGGGGTGTTTTTACTGTGTGGTCTATCTTTGTGAATGATCCTTGTGCACTTGAGAAGAATGTATATTCTGCACTTTGGGGTGAAATGTTCTAAAAATGTCAATTAAATCCATCTGATCCAGTGTGTCCTTTAGAGTCAGTTTCCTTGTTAACTTTTTGTCTGGAAGACCTACCCAGTGAAGTCAGCAGAGTGCTAAAGTCCCCTACTATGACTGTATTGTTGTCAATCTCTCCCTTAAAGCCCTCTAGAAGTCTTTATATGTACTTACGTGCTCCTATATTGGGTGCATATGTTTTACCAGGGTTATATCCTCTTGTTGGACCAATCTCTTTAGTATTATGTAGTGACCTTTGTTGTCTCTTTTGATGGCCTTCATTTTAAAGTCTATTTTGTCAGATATGAGCATTGCTGCTCCAGCTTTTTCTTTCTTTTCCATTTTCATGGAAAAAGTATTTCCACCCTTCACTCTTCATCCTGTGTGTGTCTTTTACTGTCAGGTGGGTCTCTTGTAGACAGCATATAGTTGGATCATGTTTTTATATCCATTCAGCTACCCTAGGTGTTTTAATTGGAAATTTAATCCATTTATATTTAAGGTTGTTATTGATAGGTACTTATTTATTGCCATTTTAAATCTGTATGCCTAGGTTTCTCTCTCTGTTTCTTATTACAGTAGTCCCTTTAGCATTTCTTGTAATGTTGGCTTGGTGTTGATGTATTCCTTTAGCCTTTATAGTTTTTGTCTGGGAAGGTCTTTATTTTGAATGATAGCATTGCTGGATATAGTAATCTTGGTTTCAGAACCTTGTTTTCCATTATCTTGTGTACTTTGTGTTATTCCCTTCTGGCCTGTAGGGTTTCTGATGAGAAATCAGGTGTTAGCCTTATAGAAGAAGCTCCTTTGTAGGGAACAATTTTCTTTTCTCTTGTTGCCTTTAAGATTTTCTCTTTGTCTATAATTTTTGTTATTTTATGTGTCTGGGCTTGCGTCTGTTTGGATTCTTCTTGCTTGGGGTTCTCTGTGCCTGCTGGACTTGTGTGACTTTTTCCTTTACCAGGTTGGGGACCTTTCCTGCCATTATTTCTTCTAACACATTTTCTATCTCTTTCTCCCTTTCTGCCACATCTGACATACCTGCTATTCGAATATTGTTATGTTTCACGTTGTCCCATTGCTCTCTTAATCTACCCTCCTCTTTTTAAATTGTCTTTTCTTTTTGGTTCTCTGATTGAGTCATTTTTTCAACCCTGTCTTCTAATTCACTGATTCGATCCTCAGATTCTCCTAATCTGCTGTGTATTCCTTCCAGTATGCTCTTTATTTGTGTAATGTCATTCTTTATTTCTGTTTTCATAGTTACTATATACTTTTTAATGCTGTTGAGCATCTTTACCATCATTACTCTAGCCTCTGTTTCAGATACATTTCTTATCTCTGCTTCATTTATCTCTTCTTCTGGAGAATTCTCTAGTTCTTTCATTTAGGGGTTGTTTCTTTGTCTCCTCATTTTTTCTGTCTGTTTTGGTTTGTGACTACTAGTATGTATTAGATAGATCTGCTATGCTTCCCAATCTCTAGAGCAGGACAGCGGCAAACCCCATGTCTGACTAATTAGATCAGGCAAAGACTCAAAACCTCCAGACACTGCCTCTGCCTACAGACTGATAGAATGACTACTATACTTGCCCTCAGGCAATGGTTCTCAGGTGTGGCGAGAGTTTTTTTGTGAGCTGGGTTGGGCATTTGCTTCTGCCTGGAAGCTAATTGTTATTCTCAGTCTCTTAATGGGCCTGAGCAACTCTGTTCCATGGGACAAGGTGTTTTCCAATATGGTGGGTCAACTATATTTCCCCCAGGCCAGGTTACCTATATAGCAAATGTCTGTGTGGGAAAGATGTCCTCTGCTGCTTGAGAGTGACTCAACACAGGAAACCAGGGTTTCTGCCTTCTGAGCTCTAATGTCAGAGCCCCTGATCCTGGCTTCTGCTCACACAGCTCCAGTCCACTCTGTCCTCCCTCTGCTGGAGCACAAGGTGGGTGGCTCCACAGGGAATTTTGTGTGTTGGTGCTTTAAGAGGGTGTTTGCATTTCCAGCCGTCTCTTCCTCGCAGACAGCAACTCTGCTGCTTCTCACAGCCAGATGTTTTGTGGGTACCCTTCTCATTTCTGGTGCTCTCTGATGGGGGGCCTATCTTGGGGATTAGACCCCAGAGTTCTTAGTCACAACCCCCACAGCTGAGATACATCTCTGGAACTTTAGTTGCTGTCTGTGTGAGCCCAGCCAGCCCTTCATGCCTTCACCCCTCCGCCCCTCCTACCAGTCTTTAAGGGGTCTTCACTTTTGGTCCTTGGTTATCAGAGTTCTCTCCAGCAAGTCTTCTGTTGATTATTCAGGAAGTTTTTCTGTATTTTAGTTGTAAATCCAGTTTGGTCCTGGAGCAAGTCCGTACAGCATCCACTTACTCTGCCTCCATTTTTAATCTCCAAAGTGAGTTATTTCTATCCTAAACCAGGGTTTTCCTTTTGAGGACGGTTCATTGACTGTGTAGATGTCTGTGTTTTTATCAAGTGAAGCCAGCTGATTGGCTGGGCTGAGTGATGGGGACCACGGTTGTTAGGATAAGCTGTTTATTGGCTGTGATGGTGACAGTGGCTCTGTGTGCTGATGATGAGCCTTGGGATCAGCCCTCATGCTCAGCAGGGCTTCCTTGGCCTGTTTGCAGATCAGCACCTGCCACCAGCTCCTGCACCCCCAGGTCCTGCAGCTGCTGGTGAAACTTTTTGAGACGGAGCACTCCCAGCTGGACGTGATGGAACAGGTGAGCGGGGCGGGGCTGCCAGGTGGCCGAGGAGAGGGCCTTCTCTAACTGATTTCTCTGTTCACTCTTGTAGCTTGAGTTGAAGAAGACCCTGTTGGACAGGATGGTACACCTGCTGAGTCGAGGTTATGTACTTCCTGTTGTCGGTTACATCCGCAAGTGTCTGGAGAAGCTGGACACTGACATTTCTCTCATTCGCTATTTTGTAACCGAGGTCAGCAACACCATTTGTTTCATGTTCCTTACTGTGTGCACTAACAGTGCCCTTTCTGGATTAATTTAAGTGTGTTTTGTACCTAACCCTGAGAACTGTGCTTCCTGGAAACCATGCCGATTATGGTGACATAGATACTAGTTTCCTCCTACATGCTGGGACTGTACTATGTTTACCTGCATTGCCCTCTGGGTCCTAGGGTCACTGGGGAGCAAGACGCTGGGTAGGGAGGGTGGTTTACTACAGACCAGCTGGCATTTCATCAGCCTGTGGTGCGAGGCTGCTCATGGGCGTGTGTGCAGGAACAGTGACCTGCTGTCCTCTCCTTGCAGGTGCTCGACGTCATAGCTCCGCCATACACCTCTGACTTCGTGCAGCTTTTCCTCCCCATCTTGGAAAACGACAGCATCGCAGGCACCATTAAGACTGAAGGTGAACATGACCCTGTGACAGAATTTATAGGTAAGCTGGATGGGAGTGTCCCCGTGCTAGTTTACATGTCATGTTTTACCCCTTGGTTCTGACCCCTGTTCCTCCCGTTTGTAAAGCTCACTGCAAGTCCAACTTCATCCTGGTGAACTGACCCAGTACCCTCCGGAGCCAAAGCGAACATTCCAGACTGGGGAAACGCCTTCCAGACCAAAGGGGCTCAGTCAGCACCTCGGAAATGCGTTCATGGGGTGAATGGCCTTTTTAAAAAGGAAAATGTGAGCAAGATAAGTGGAAAATTGCTGTTATGAGTGGTCCCCTCGCCTTGTCAGTTCTGTTCACAGTATTCTCTCCCCCAGTAGGGCCTTTGTTCAGGTTACTTCTCGGGATGGGTGGTGGGAATTCAGAAGCTGAAACATTTAAATCAACTGCTTGCAAAGCTGACTTATGTTTTCTCACAAGAACCTGATTAGTTATTTCATTTCATTGTTTTAATTTCCCAAGGACAAATAAAAACTTTCCTGTTGGGTTGAAAGGTGTAGACCCTGGTGTTCTGTTCCCATGTGTAAATAAGGCATGCTCAGGCTCCATCCTCTTGTGAAATCCCGTATTTTATTCATCAGTTGGGCGATTTGAAACTGCTGTCTCCCTCTATTCCCCATTCCTTCCAAGGTGACAAAAGAACTGGTGATAAATGCCACATTATAGACTACAGTTGCCAAAAGGAAAATACCAAACCATCAATCAACAAAAATGCAGTTCACATAATTAATGTGTTGCAATCCCATCTTGGGCAGGTAGATGGTTCACTGCAGTCCTGCAGGGGAGTGTCCTGGGCTGGTTTACACCATCTCTTCTGAGACTCTCAGGGGATGTGCTCCGCCAGGTGCTTAGTGCCCTCTCAGTGTGATTTGAACATCAGCTCCCAATCCTCCAAACCACGGAAGTTCATGATATTTTCTTAAAGATCTGCTCTCCGAGACATCTGCCTTAAACGATGGGGTCCCCAAATGAGCAGCTGTCCTCGATAGCAAGGTTGTATTTAGCGCCCTTCCCATCTTTGTAGGTACTGGTCACTATCCGCATCCAGCCTCGCTCGCCCTGTGACAAGTAGGAGCACGTGTTAGCTTGTCGCCCAGCCTCTGACCCCCACTCCTCAGCACGCCGAACACCCCTTCTCCCTCTGCCTGTCATTCAGCACAGGCTCCACCACCTGCCTCTCCCTTCCCTGTGTGGGACCCCTGCTTGCAAATACCTTTTGTGAGTATCTCACTTGGTTACTATGTAACATGAGGGGTGCAGGTACCTGCATGGCAAAGGCCAATTCATGGAACCAAAATATGGATGCTTTGGACCAGATGACTTAACTTCCTCCTGTTTCTCCATGTGTAGTCATTTAATACAAAATATTGACATTGTGCCTGGCCAGCATGGCTCAGTGGTAAGGGTTAACGTATGTACCGATTTGATTCTCAGGGCACATGACCCGGTTGCGGGCTCAAGCCCCAGTGTGGGGCGTGCAGGAGGCAGCCAGTCAATAATGACATTGTGGCACTTCAACATTAATCACTTTCCCCCATTTCACAAAAACGAACGTCTGTGTCTTAAACCACTAATGGTTCATACTACTTAGAAATTAAAATTCTGGCAATCAGCTTCTCTCCCCTGCATTTGTGACCCAAATCAAAGGTATGAAAAATCATACAGGATTACTGGGAGGAGCCAGAACTGACAGGAAAAAGGACGAGATGGCTATGAAGGAATACACTAGCTAACCTGAAACTTCTAGAGCCGAGTCCCACCACCAGGGCGTTCCCCCAGAAGACACCTGGCAATGTCTGGAGACGGTCTTGGTTGTCACAATGGAGGGACAGGGAGAGCAGCTACTGGCATCTGGGGCTAGGGGCCAGGATGCAGCCCAACGCACCGCGATGCCCAGGACAGCAACAGTCCCCACACAAGTCAAGTTTCTGACCCCAAATGTCACTGGCGCTTGCTGAGGGCCCAGCTCCAAGCCACAAAGCCACAGCACCGTGTGTGTGAG